TGCGGTTCCAATTCAGCAGGCAGCAAAGAGGCATAGGTGAGGTTAAAGTTATAATCCATACTGGATGAGAGCGGATATTGAGATTCATAACAAAGTAGATTTAAAAGCAACTGTCAAGAATTATCTAAAATTCATCGTGAGCAGACCCGCTACCACTGCAATAATATTAATGATAATAATGACATACAAACTCATCCTTTCACGCTTGTCCACATTGTATCGGTTAAAGTATGTGATTTTTTAAGGGATATTGGAACACGAATTAGTAGTACTTCATTTGTCCTCAACTAGGTTGGACGGCGACAGCAAGACTTTGTAGAACGTATCCAGTCCTGTGTAATATGCTATAGTAGTCGTGATAATATTCAGCATCAGACAATTGACATGGTACATAGCCAGACACTTCGTTTGTATCGTCAGTGAGCCTCGCAATTCTTAGCACCAAGCTGCAGCCCATCATAGTTACTTTCCACTATGTGCTGACGATGACGCCTCGAACTCATGATCCCGACTGTAGTGCCAGCGAAACGTCTAGAAGTGTACAAAGTCATCGGTCCGATGCTTGAAATCATCATGATTACCTTGGCAGAGGACGTAGGACAGGGTACGCTCCACAGGATATCTCTATTGACCCAAAAAATTACTGAAAACACGTCAAACCAACTCACAAGAATCAAACGAGACTTCAAATGAACATAATGTGTTCATACGAAGAAAAGTTGGGTTTCAAGGAATTTCTTGTTTCATAATTGTTGAGCTCACTTCCATTTCGAGAAGAAGAGTTGGGTGAAGAGATTTGAAGGTCGGTTCCACCAGAAGACGACGGCGGATTTCTCTTGACTAGCTGTCGATTGGCTTTACTGGAAGATTCATGCTGACACTGTTTCCGAGGCAATCTCCTTCGATTCCGGTGAAAAGGAGCTAAGCTTTCGTCCGTCATATGACGAACATCATCAGAGCGAGGTAGCATCATCACAACAAAATTCAAGCTAACGAGTCAAGACAACTCACCGGCAAATCCTTAAAAAGTGGTATATATACTCTAGATCTGGCCTCTTTGATCAAGTATAAAGTGATTTGGTTAGTTAAGGTCATATGTCGTCTTCTGGTGGAACCGACCTACGAATCTCTTCACCCAACCGTTCCACTCGAAATGGAAGTAAGCTTAACAATAATGTGTTCATACTTGATATATGCTGTACCTACTTCCTATCGAAAGCTTGCTGAGTTGTAAATTGGGCCG